ATATTTATCATTTTTAATTGTTTTAATGGTTTTTAATGGTTTTCTTTTAATGGTTTCATTTGAATTTTGTCCACTGCCCAGAGCCACATACATGAGATGGGCAGCTATATACACGTGTTAAATAAATGAATAAAACATTCCTGCAGTATTCTTTCTCTCCCTCCTGGCTTGTCTTAGGTCCATATGGGGCTTGTTGTATTGGGAATGGTTGTCTTCTTCATGGTTGCTTTTTTCTCTCTTTACAGTTTTGTGTTTCTTTTGAACAAGGTCTTTAGGACTTTGTTTATGAAGGCAGCCAGAGTGATATATTAGTTAAAATGCTGAATGTGACAAGGGAATTCTAGGTTCAAGTCCCTCTTCACTCACAGTACCTTGGGCAACTTTGCATTAGTACCTATCGATCAAATAACATGGGGTTTCTATTGTAAAGAAAAATTGGAGGGAGTGTGGACGTCTTGGAAGAAAAGTGAGATATAAAGCTAACAAATAAATAAAATAAAGCCCTTATTTATTTAAAAGTGTTTTCCTAACTTTGATTATAATTCAAATCTATGTTAATACAACATTGGGAAAGTTTAGATAGATACTTTATTAGATTGAGTAAAACTGAATAAAGGATGACAACTACAAATAAGTCTGCAATTGATATGGGAGTGAGGCTATTAATGGAAAATGTAACGAGTCTTTGCCACTTAGACATGTAAAAGGTAAAATGCACTTATAGGTTTGTTTTTTTCTGTGACTTTTTAGGAATTGAGAACCAATATAGGTGCAGAAGATTTATGTGAAGTGCATAAAAAGATTGAACAAGAAACAGAAGTTCATCTGATTGAAAAATTACCAGAGCAAAAAATTTCAAATAGGACATGCACAGGTAAAACCATAAATGACTATAAATATTGAACCAATAAAATCACAGGACATACTTTTTGCTTAAGCATTCACATGTAGTGGCATGTTATATGATGCTTTATTCCATCTGCTCTATGTTATTGTATATAATGTCTGTTCTTCTGAATAGAGAAATTGGCATATTTCCTGGACAGATTATTTAAATTGAGGTGCCAGTTTAAATAATTTGTAAACTAGATAGAATAATATGCTTTTGTTACTATTGTTTTGTCTAACAAATATGTACATATTCCTAAAATAGTTACTATTGAAATAACAATTTTTTTTGCAGAATTACAAAAGGAAGAGATTTGCCCAAGGGTAGAAAAAAGTATCAAATACGAAAATATAGAAAGACAGAAGAACAGGAGAAAAGGCCAAGGGCTAGACTTATTGAAAGAAGAGTTTGAGAAATTAAGGACAGAACCATCATTTCTTTCTGCCCATCATGTTCAGCCAAAAGAAAACAATTTGGAAGAAGTTGCAGCTGAAAAACAAGAAAATGAAGAAAATAGAGAGTCAAAAGAAGCTGTTTGTGACAAATTAACAATGGTAAATCAAAGATATAAAACACCATCTAAATTTAAAAAACAGTATGTATTTACAGAGGCCATTGAAAATCTGCATCAGGGATACCCCTCAACAGGCCCCTTATCCAACACAAACGTAACATGCAGTAGCAGACAGAGGAACCAGCATCAGGGTGAAGTAGCTGAGTTTAAGACAGAAGATTCAATCAGTACTTATGAGCCATCATTTGGCAAAGTTCCCAAGGCAAGACAAAAGGACACCCCTTCAACTCATGGTGATGACTACATTCCTAACATACCTATGGAAAAGAAAAACACTCTGATGGAAGAACTCTTTGGTCCAAGCTGCATCTTAAATAACAGTCATCCAAACTCTAATTTAAACATGGAGGGTAAGGAAAAAAAAACTTTGCAGAGTAAAAAACCCTATGATGAGATTTCATACACAAATGATGGCTTGCAGTGTGGTGATTCCAATCAAGCCCATATAAATGTTTTTCAGAAAATTGCCTTCTTGGACAATCTTAATTGATTGTTTCATTTTTTTTCATCCCATACACAGTATTTTTAACTATTGAAAAAATGTATTATATAAGCTACATTCTTCATTAAGTATATTTATTGATTCTAACAAAGTATAAATGTCACATATTTCTGTCTAGCTATAACACAATATATATTTTAATATTCCTCTACATAAAATGTGTGGTATCACATTATATCTAGTAATGAAACATGCTTAATAGGGATCCAAGAAAAAATTATTTGCAAATGTAAAGTAAGACTTGATGTAGTTCCTCTTCCTCACTCCATTTCAGAAAGTCTTTTAAAATAATTAACATGTGTCTAGTTAAAGTCAGGAAAATTATTTATGATGTTTGGATGATATTGCTGATACATGGAGTGGGTCGGTTTGTGTGTGTTGTTTTTTGGTAATCTAATATGGATTTATTTAAAGGCCACCAAAATGATTTTTGAAGCCATATTTTAAAATAGCCACAGCTTATAGCTGAAAGCATGGGTGTAGATATTAGAGCTCCCATTTACCCCCAAAGTTAGTAAACTGCACTGGCAACTTCATCTATCCTACATGCATGGTAATTTCTATAGCTATTGTAATTTGCATATTTTTCCTAATGTAATTGCCTCCCAAATTCTATAGGGAACACTCAAAATAGTACTTTAGCACTCTTCTCCTAAAGGCAACTCAAACACTAAATGATCAACTACCAACAATGTTGTTCTCATTATTTCCCATCATAGAGCAGTGCAAAATGCAGCATCTAGTACAAAAAGGAATCAAGACAAGAAAGAAGTCAAGCAAGATTTTTTAAAACTGCAACATGTTAATATTCGTAAGCAAACACATCTAAAACTTGCAGACAGCAATAAGAAATTGTAAATTTTCTGCTTGAATAGAAGCAACTAAAGTAGCAGAACTCTAATTTGCCTGCAGCGGGAGTAGCTGAGCAGATTGTTGGCAAACTAGGTCTGCCACTTAATCGCTCTGCTCTAATGCTTTTTTCCTCTGGGAAAAAAGGCTTGCTATACATAGCACTATCTTGTTTCCTTGAATCAGTCTTTTAGAACTAGGACATTTTTGTTTTCAATCTTTCTCTAAGGCACAGGATAGAAAGGCAGAGTTAATTATTCTGTAGCTTGGCTATGGGTCTAACTTACTACAGCTCAGCATTCCTCAGCCAGGGCCCTTCCTCATTCCCAGCCAGTATGAGAATGATTGAATGATAGAATCAGATGAATCTGGAGGATGCTATGCTGTAGACTGCTGTTCTAGCTGCATGGTGAACAGACTTTCTGGTTTGCTCAAACCATAACAGTAAGGAAAACAGCACAAGCATTCCTTAAAGTTGCTTGCAAGGTGAAGAGAAGTATAGGTTGGTAGGAGCAAACAGAACAAGTGGATACCTCTTTCAAATGTAAGAGTCCACGCTCAAAACTTGTACAGTGTTTGATATGGTGTTCAGAACTCCATTTCATGAACTTTTTATATATTGTATATATACACATTAAATTTTGAAAAAAATCATTTTATTACACTCACCAATTTCCACCTCTGAATGACATTTCCCTGAAGCCTTTCTTTTCCATCTAAATGTGAAGTGCCCAAGCTATGATTCATAAAAGATTAGGCAGAACATTCTAATTTAACATATAATTTTAAGCCATATCCAAGGACAGAGCTTCTGCCTCTCACCCTTCTTTATTCCTTATGTGCTATTTTTGTACTTCAACTGAAGTCCCTTTAGTTACTTTTTAAAAGAATTATAGTATTTTTCTATTGCTCTTCCTCCCCAATGAAGAGGTGAAAGTTTAGAAAATAAAAATTCTAAGCATCTACAGCCCAGAACTTTATGCATTCACCTATCCAGGGGGAAAAGAAAAGGCAAAAAAATAAACTGGGGTGGTAGACAGCATCCTAATTGGCAGCAAAGATTAACCTCACTGATTTACACGGTGGATCACAATCACTGTGGCATTCATTTTGTGAATGGATATTCCGTCTTAAATATGAAAGTTGCCCATTGAGACAAAGGGTTGTTCTTCCACTATGCATCAACTGTCCTCCTGAAAGAATACTGAGAGCAAAAGGAAGCAGGTGAAAAAGATCATGATCTCCTTGATCACTACTGTCCATACTCACTCCTTAGGCAACATGCCATCATCTTCCCTTCTATCAGTTCTGTTGGTTTTTAGACATGTTACCTTAAACCATCTTGGACATAAGCAGACTATAAATGACAGTAATAAATAAATGACAGAGGTGGGAATTGTGACTGTGTCATTATTTGCTAATCAGAGTATGAAACCATTGTTTGATCCTTGTTTCAGATGTTGGTCTAATTTAATAGGGATGAAGGGCATTATTTTGATACACAATTTTATATTCTATATATACACAATTTTATATTTTTTATATATATATATATATATACACACATATGCTTCACATAATGTATAACCATACCTGTAACAGTGCACTCTATTTTATTTCTAAAGG